GCCATGCATGATGACCCATACTCGTAATTTGTACTTATTTAACCCATTACAGCACTCACACACAACTGCTCATTTTGCACTTATTATGAACGGTTAAGGCCTAGGACTACTACATTTGCCACCACCTGCTCCATCTCGCACATCAAGACTTGAAACCTTAAGACTTGGCCCAATCCCAATTCGATTTTTGTACCCCTAACTCCTTAAAACAGAGTGTGAAAGGGAAGGGGTTCAAAATTTACCCTTAAGAAATGGGACGCGGTGCAGCGGTAGCATTAATGAGGTCGATGTATCGGTCCGTTGTGGTGAAGAAGGAGCTGAGCCGAAAGGCAAAGCTCTCGATTTACTGGTCAATCTACATTCCTACTCTCACCTATGGTCATGAGCTATGGGTCATGACCGAAAGGATAAGATCTCTGATACAAGCGGCTGAAATGAGTTTCCTTAGTAGGGTGGCAGGGCACACCCATATAGACAGGGTGAGGAGCTCTGTCACCCGGGAGAAGCTCGGAGTAGAGCCGCTGCTCCCCCACATCGAGAGAAGTCAGCTGGGGTTTCTCGGGCATCTGTTTCGGATGCCTCCAGGAATGCCTCGGGGAAGACCCAGGACACGCTGGAGGGACTATGTCTCTCGGCTGGCCTGGGAATGCCTCGGGATCCCCCCGGAGGAGCTGGAAGAAGTGTCTGGGGAAAGAGAAATCTGGGGTTCCCTCCTAAGACTGCTGCCCCCGCCGAAATGGACGAAAACGATGATGATGATGATGAAATGGGACACCACTACACGTCATCATATGTCATTGCAATTTCTTACTTCATATGAGATTACGATCACGGCTGCTGTAGTTATTCCAGTTGCGTTATTTTTTTAGTATTTATCTTCAGGAAATCACTGAAGGCAACAATATCATGTTAACAATATAATAACAATATAATGTAGCAATAAGATTGTATCTGTACTGTGCGTTTACACCGCAAACAACTTTAACATGATACCAGACACTGTAAAAAGGTCATTTTCAGCCACTAGACTTTCTGACAGGGTATTCGAGTGTCATCGAATGTCAGATGTGAAAGTATGTTGTGGGACTACTAGACAGGAGTTATTATTATGGATTATAGATAGCAAAATGTAGCGTGTTTTTGGCATTTTTAAAAAAAGCATGATGGTAAAACACAAACGCCGTTATGAATGTATTAAAACATATGCTTGTTTGTTGTAAAATTCATAATAATAACAAAAAATATTAATTTGTTCATCTCCTGACTTTGGTGTGCAGCCATGCTGCCATTGTAGATAGTGTATTCTGGAAAAATTATTTAGCTATCAACCCCTCACCTTTAGCCCTAGGCCTTCAAGCTAAAGAGAATTGAGACACCCTTACACCATCACGTGAACAATCAAACCAAGGGGTTGGAGTAAGGGATAGAACTGGGATTGGGCCTTGGTCTCTCTTGGCAGAATGGGGGTAGGATGACTCTCTGAGTCTCCTCTAGACTATACTCTTGTACATATATTCTCAGTCTCCTTTCTCCCCCTATTCATGATGCTCCTAGTGGCCAAGCATGATCTGCCACTGTCCACATAACACAATTTAAACTCAGGCTCATTGGAGATGAGGGCTACTTTTTGGAGCCATGAAATATGTGCATGGGTCTATGTCTGTTTGCAGTTTTTGTTTTCCCAAATACACTAGAGGTCACTGTGAACATTTCTGCAAATCTCAAATACGTTATTGGGCCAAGTTTTCTCATACGTCCCATTTCTTGAAAATCCACAAGAGGCCACTGTGTACATTTCTGCAAATCTCAAATACAGTACTGCGCTACATTTGCTCATCATACATGCCATTCTTGCACAAATCTGTGAAAAAATTGCAGACAGCTAACCCCTCGCCTACCCTAACCAAGCGATAGTGTTTCAAGTCCAAGCTAGTAAAGAAAAGCACATTGCGGCCATGTGCTTTTACCACAATTTCTCATTGCTTCATTTTTTAATTTTTTTATGGTTTTGTTTTACCTAGTTTCTAGAACCGTGCTTCACTCAAACCCCAGTCCATCCCAAATCCAACACCGTACTAGGCGAGCTACCAAGCTAACTGATCTTTCTAGTAAAAAAAGCCATCCATACAAAGGTAAGTGGTGAGTGGTAACAAGAAAAGAAACAATAGTTGACGGTGACATCATTCTAGTCTGGAGTGTTCCTGCAGGTCACATATTTTTGGTTTTCCCTAATCCCCAATGAGCCTGTGTTGCACAATTTACATCATCAGGAATTTTCACCAACATTCATCCACACTCATTCTGATTCTGACATTCTATTGAAGCCGGACAAGGACATCAGTGGATATTTCTAAAGATAAAAACTGTTTCATCAGACCACTCCACAAACCATTGCAGAATGTAGATGGCTACAGTATAGTTCCAAACCTAATCAACCACACCTGAACAAGATAGTCAAGGTTTTTTCTTATGTATACTTGAAACTTCCAGGCTTGTGTTG